AAAAAAAATAATGATTTAGTTTTGAGGCCCTCCTACCCCACCTAGTCCGGCAAGGGGAGCAGAGTCACTCTGAGCACCCCAAAGGTAGAGCACCAACCTTAGTAAGATGTGTCTGCCAAGCCAGGAGGGGTGGTGCATGCCTGCAATTCCAGCACTGGGAGGCTGAGGCAGAAGGATTGCCAGGAGTCTGAAGGCAACCTGGGCTTCATAAAGAGTTCAAGACCAGCCTGAACTACACATAAGGAGACTCTGTCTCAAAAGAAAAGGGGGGGACAAGTGTTGGGGTAGCACTTACCTAGCATGTGTGAGGCCATGGGTTCAAAAAAACACTCTCTCCCACCAGATCCCACGTGCCACCCCCTGTATCCCTCTAGCTGGCCACCATGATAGCAGGTGTGCCCCATGGTATCATGATCATCCCAAGAAAATGCCTGTTCCACTTAGTTTCTTCTTCAGAGTAGGAACTGTATCTTCCTCTCTGTATATCCTTTGCACAGAAAAGACTACTTGTTTGTTGAATGAATGAATGAATGAATGAATGAATAGTTGAGTGAAAAATGTAAGCTTTTCCAGAGCACCCCTCCTCACTGGCCTAATCCATCCTCTGGAAGCACTTTGTCTTAGTCATTTTCTTGCCAGTAGATAAAATAGCCGACACCCACAACTTAAAGAAGAAGAGATTTATTTTGACTGGCATGTGTAGTCCATGGTGGGCCAACTCCCAAAGCAGAAACAGCATGGCAGAGGGGCATGGTGGACAAAAAGCTGCTCACATCATGGCAGCCAGAAAGCAGACAGAGAAGGGCTGAGCCAAAGGGTGACATCTGCCCTTCCAGGTAAAGCCCCCAGCAGTTGTCCTGTGCTACCAAGCCCCACCTCCTAATTGCAAGTCAGCTATAGCGCCCCCATGGTACAGCCCCACCTATGAGCACACAAGGCTCTTGGAGACATCTAGATATACAGTTTCTGGGTTTGTTTTGTTTTTTGTTTTTACTTTGTTTTGGTTTTTTTCCGGTACCGGGAATCGCATTTATGCCTTTGCGCTTGCCAGGCAGGCGCCGTGCCGCTGAGCTCATGCCCAGCCCCTTTTTTTTTTACTTTTTGAGACAGGGTCTCGCTATGCAGTTCAGGCTGGCCTTGAGCGCATTCTGTAGCCCAGGCTGGTCTCGAACCCGCAACCATCCTCCTGCCTCAGCCTCCCGAATGCTGGGATTACAGGCGTATGCCACCATGCCCGGCAATCTAGATATACAGTGATCCCTCACCCAGTGGGAATTATGTTCTAGAGACCCCCATGATAGGTGAAAATCCGCAAAGTAGCAGCAGTATACATATATAGATAGATATAGATATATCACATATATACACACTTTTTTTTTGGCCTTCAGATGCTTTTCTTTTTTTGGTGGGGGGGTATGGGGACTCGAACTCATGACCTCAGGCTTGCCAGGCAAGCACTTGTGCCGCTGAGCTATATCCCCAGCCCCTTTCATATGTCTTAAACACTTTCTACACTCTTAAACCTATGTGATTTTAACAACATGTAGAATTCTATATGGGTACTCACCAGTGAAGTATACTACAACTTGAATGATGAAGATCATGAATTATGTAGCTGTGCAGTACTGATGGTGATACGAAGTGGACAAGGAGAGATGCTGAACATATAGGCACAGTGCGAGAGAGCAAACAGACCGATGCTACAGTCACTGAGCCAATCAGTGCACAGGATACAGAACACAGTGCTGTGGTTGGTCACCTTCCATTCCATCAGCCAATAGTGTGCTATGTACAATCTCACATTGGCAAACTTGCACAAGGGGTAGTGGCATACTGCATTTCCACTGTGTACAGTACAGTATTCATCTGCTGAAGAAATACATACTGTATTTTATTTCAATTTAATATTCTTTTAATATGTTCAAATTAACATTTTTTCTATTTTAAATTTTTAGGCAAAAATAATTAAAACCATAACTTATGTAAATACCTGTGTACAGCAGAATCCCACGATATAGCGAAAATTCCATGGTACAGAATTAGAAATATTTTCTTTAACACTGGGCGTGGTGGTGCACGCCTGTAATCCCAGCACTCCGGAGGCTGAGGCAGGAGGATCCTTGTGAGTTCGACACCAGCCTGGCTACAAAGTGATCTCTGAACTGCATAGCGAGACCCTGTCTCAAAAAGACAAAAAAAAAAAAGAAATTTAAAAACCCACAATACAGTAAAGCCACAGTATGTGAACTGCAATATAGCGAGGAACAACTGTAAATCATGACACACATTCTGAATTATTCAGTGAATAATCTTTTTATGCAAATTGCCTACAAAACTAGATTCTAAGTCCCTTAAGATCAAAAAGAACTTTTCTCCTCTCTTTGTATAATCTCACCAACTGTCACCCAACAGATGCTATTGTCAAGTTGCAGAGCTCAGCTAGAGGTGATGGCACATGCCTAGCACTCTGGGAGGCTTAGGTGGGAGGATCTCAGCTTCAAACCCAGTGTGGCCAGCTTAGGAACTGTACTAGTCACTCTCTCATTGCTGGGACAAAATACCTTATACCTGCAACTTAATGAAGGAGAGGTTGATTTTGGCTCAGTTTCAGAGAGTTCAGTCCACAGGCTGGCAGGCTCCAAGACAGAAGGCGCATAGTATAAGGGCAAGGCAGAGAAAGCTGCTTACCTCATGGCAGCAAGAAAGCAGAAAGAAGAGAGGAGCTAGAAACAGGAATATAACCTTCCAGAAAAAAAAAAAAAAAAAATGTGTTTTTTTTTTGTGTGTGTGTGTGTGCTGGTAATTAAACTCAGGACCTTGAGCTTGCCAGGCAGGCTGTGCCACTGATCTACATCCCTAGCCCAGAAAAAAAATGGAAACAAAGCTTTTGTAAATAAGGAGGGAAGACGGGTTGAAGGGAGGGGAGGGTAATGGGAAAAAAAGAAACGATATATCATGTACAGATACAAATTCCCTACGATGAATGTTATCATTATGTATATCTAAAATGTACCAATAAAAGTTTTTTAAAAAGCAAAAAAAAATCTAGTAGAGCAAAAAAGTTACAATATATGATTACTGTATCATTTATACTAAACAATGTTATTTTCATGAATTTATAAAAAATACTCCAGCAATCTTACTTAGGCTGGCATTATAGAAGAAAATTCAATGACAAGTCCTTTTTTACTTTAAGATTCTTTTCTGTCCCAATATTAGGAAGTTTAACTTTTTTGAGGTATATTTGCCACATTTTTGGATTAGTTGATTTTCCTTAAACTTAAAAGAATTCTTACTGTTTAACAATACTATTGGTGAGGCTGGGGATTTAGCTCAGCAGCACAGTGCCTGCCTGGAAAGCGCAAGGTCATGAGTTCAATTCCTGGTACTGGAAACCCCCCCAAAAAAAAAAACAAAAAAAAATACTGTTGGTTATAAAATAAGATAAAAGTAGTATGACACTATAGAAAGTAAAATGTGAAAGTACATTTGCTCTATCTCCCCAGGGCCTCTTGACCCCCAGTTCTTCACCCACCCCCAGCCAATTCTTCTACCTTGAAGGCATCCTCTCCAAGTTGTCTGAATAATGTAATTTTCGGGCTAAGCCTGTACAAATAAATAATGTTTGGGGCTGGGGATTTAGCTCAGTGGCACAGCACCTGCCTGGCAAGTGCAAGGTTGTGAGTTCGATTCCTGGTACCGGAAAAAAAACAAACAAAAAAATATATATATATGTGTGTGTGTGTGTGTGTGTGTGTGTATGTACATATGCACCTGTGGAATTGTGTGCTTTTTAAAAACCACATTATATATTGTTTTACAACTTTCTTTTTTCATTTAGTGATATATCCTGATCAAGTTTTCATATGCTTATCTGGACTTATTTAATTCTTTTCATCATGATAGAGTCTGTGTAATGTATCTTTTGTAATTTTCAGAATATTTTTATCTCCCACCCTCTTTTTCCATAGAAAGAGCTGTCTTTTTTCTACCACTATAATGGTTCTATAAACAGTTTTTAAAACAGCTCTAGGGGCCGCTAATATAGCTCAGCTGCACAGCGCCTGCGTAGCAAGCACAAGGTCATGAGTTCAATTCCCAGTACCAAAAAAGAAAAAAAATAAAACAGCTCTAATAAGGCCGAGCCTGGTGGCACAAGCCTGGTAATCCCAGCAGTTGGGAGGCTGAGGCAAGAGGATTGCTGAGAGATTGAGTCCGGCCTGGGCTACACAGTGAGTTCAAGGCCAGCCAGAACTGCATAGTGAAACTGTCTCAAACAAATAGCTCTAGGGGCTGGGGATTTAGCTCAGCGGCACAGCACCTGCCTGGCAAGTGCAAGGTTGTGAGTTCAATTCCTGGTACCAGAAAAAAAAAAAAAAAAAAATCAAACAAATAGCTCTAATGAACTTTATTAAAACTGAAGTTTGGGGCTGGGGATATAGCTTAGTGGCATAAGCGCCTGCCCAGCAAGCAAAAGGTCGTGAATTTGATCCCCGGCACCGCAAAAAAAAAAAACAAAAACTGAAGTCTTTAAAGAACACAACCTTCTCTACCTTGGAGTTGGTTAGAAGAGTACTCTATCTCTGATTTTACAATGATGATGATAAAGTTTTACAGCATGAACCAGACTATCCCCTTACGTGTCACACCCAGACACCTGTCTCTTCAGACCAGGCTCCACCTCTGAAGAGCTTACTCAGCTCCGCTCTCACCTGCAGATTGCTGATGCTCTAGCGGCTCCATGATCTAATGTTCCAGAAGCCCCACCTCTGAACATGAGACTTTTGGAGGACATTTTAGATGTAAATTATAACCGTTATTACAGGAACTTAACAACATTCTGTCTCAAAATAAAAAACTTAAAATGGGGCCAAGGATATAGCTCAGCGAGCAGGCCCTGGATTCAATCCTCAGAACAAGTAAAAGGCCAGAGTTGCTGTAGAGGAAGGGAGACCAACCCAGGAACTGACTGACCAGCAGTGCTTTGCTTTGCTCCCCAGGGGGCTGTTGTGGTTCCGACTATAAACAGTACGTGTTTGGCGGCTGGGCCTGGGCCTGGTGGTGTATCTCCGACACTCAGAGGTAAGGGGCTGGGGGCACCAGAAGACTGTCTCCTTAGGGCAAGGAAAAGAGGGTTTTCCAGCATCCCTGCCCATCCTGCAGGTTGGCTAGAGCATCACCATTTGCCCCCTTCCAGGGGGGCGGAGAGCAGGAGAGGTGGACTCACCGGGATGCAGGAGGCACACATCAGGCGGGTCTGTCCATGAGCACTTTCTCCCCACTGGGTTTCTCTTTTCCACTGGAGATGACATCGCTTCTGTCCCAGAGAATTCAGAGTCATACCAGGCCGAATCTCAGTTTCCTGATTTTAGCTCAGTTATTCCAGAAGTCTTAGCCAGGCACAGTGGCACGTGTCTATAATCCCACCGCTGAGGGCACTGAGGCAGAAGTATCGCAAGTGTTGGGCCAGCCCGAGAGCAAGACCCTGTCTCAGAAACACAAGAACCACAAAGTCATACATACTGTTTTGAGTAGGTGTACAGAGGAAAGAAAGGCTGCAGAGAACTCTTACACATACTTACCCATAAGGCCCTGAGACAACTCAGAATAAAAGTATGGTCAGAAGTGCTCTGTGACAGCAGTGAGGTAGAGACAAAGGGTGGGGATCTGAGGAATTGGTGCTGGTGCCAGGCAAGATAGGTTCAGATCTCCTAGACCAGTGGTGATGAACCTGTGGCTCACATGCCAAAGTGGGCATACAGAACCCTCTCTGTCAGCACACAAGCCAAGTCACCCAAGCATCAGATAAACTGAAACCTCAGCCTGTAATCCTAGCACTCAGGAGGCTGAGGCATGAGGATTACTGTGAATTTGAGACCAGCTTGGGCTACATAGTGAGTCCAAGGCCAGCCTGCACTACATAGTGAGACCCCGTCTCAAAAAAACAAAACAGAACAAAACACTTAAACCTCAGTGTTTAGTTTTAATTGCAGTATTGGCACTTTGCAGTAAATAAATGAGTTTTGGGGTACAGTTTGTGTACTTAGTCTCTGAAAGGTTCCCCATCATTGTCCTAAATGCAAGGAAGGCGATCACAGCTCCTCAGAGCACCCAGCATCCCCCTCTCCTTGCTGGTGCCTCCCGATCCCAGGGCAGGGCCAGCACTGGCCTCTCCCGCTGCCTCAGTGTCCACCCAGCGATAAGGCACAGCCGCTTTTCCATCACTACCACCTTCCTGACAATGGAAAATGGGGCAGAGGCAGATCCTTCCAGACCAGAACCCAAGCAACAGGGCTGACAGAGCTGTGGAGGTTGTAGGCATGTTGGAGGTTGGGCATCCCAAAGGGGAAGCAACGGAGATTCCAGCAGAAATCCCCCTCCGCCACAGCCCCAGCCAGTCAGCAGATAGAAGCTCTGTCTGCACTGAACTGCTGGTGCTCGGGACTCCCAGAAGTCTGAGAGTGTCTGCGGCGGGGGTGGGAAAAGGGAGTAAGTTACAGCTGCGCAACATCTCTGATTTCCCGGTAACCCCCTCCACTCTCACATCTCTCTCCTCACTTTACCTTGCTGAGCTGAGGGATCCAAAAGCAGCAGAGAACAATCAATACCGGTCACATCTTTCCCTCCAAAGGCTTCTAGCCATGCCTGAGTGGGTCACTTGTCCTGAGAGAAGTCAAGAGAGCCCTCTCCAGAGACACTGCCACCTTGCACACCATACAGTCCCAGCTCACCAGAGTTTCTTGTTCCAGCATCTCCACTTGGGGCTGGGGATGTAGCTCAGCGGCGCAGTGCCTGCCTGGCAAGCGCAAGATCCTGAGTTCAATTCCTGGTACACCCTCCCCTGCAGAAAAAATAGAGTCCTTAGCAAACACCTCAGCTTACAGCCAAATCCTGACCCTTTGTGACTTGCACAGAGACCTGTCCCCAGCGGGGCTGCACTGTTAGGGCAATATTCCTGCAGTTCTTTCTTTACATTCTTGGTCTCTTGCTCCACAGGGAGCAGAGCTCTGGGACAGGAGGGCTAAGCCTACCTGATGACAGGTTTGCGAGTGAGAAGCGGGGGGGCTTGTACCTTATTTTTGGTTTGGTTTAGTTTGGTTTGGTTTTGCTACCGGGAATCGAACTCAGAACCTTGCACTTGCCAGGCAGGCTCCATGCTGCTGCACTACATCCCTGGCTCTGCACATCCTCATTCTGGTTCCCCTTACAGGGCATTCCGAGCCTGCGGCCCTTCCGCATCCTGTTCTCGGTTCTGGGAGCCAGCCCCTTCCCCAGTCTCTAACCCACTTGGGGAATGTCTTCACAGGTTGGGGCCTCTTCCTCTATGCTGGCAGGAGCTTCTCAGGTTAGAACAGAGGCTTCTGACCCATGCTTCCGACTCAGCCTTTTCCGCAGCATCCTGTATCTCAGCCCACTCCCCGCAGGGTGTCAGCCATTCTTCATCCAGGCTCAGTGAAGTCCTTCCTGCTGCACGTGCCCCAATGTCCTGTACTACGCTGAGGCCCTGTCACAGAGAGCTCTCTGCCTTCCTGAGCAATTCCTCCACCTCTGGCATCTGAGATGCAGCCTCCTGTGTTTCACCCTTCCCTTCCCTCCCATTTCCCTCTCTCCTTCCCCAGAAAAAAACTTGGTGGGTGGCTGACTGAACTGGGTCAAGAGACCCTGCAGACCCAGGGGTCCTAGAGTTAGGGGCTCAGATGAAGGCAGCCTTTGCGGGTCTGCATGGCCAAGCCCCAGGGCTGGTGCTGGGAGAGCAGCCCTCCCAGGGTTAGGCTGGAGGTTCCACATTGCCTACTGCTCTTCATCTCCCTATCCACCTGCTTCTGCCCACTTCTCTTCCTTCTTGGGGTCTAAGGAACCTTTCCACGCTATCCACAGCCTGTCTCTGCCTTGACCACCACCCTACACACGCACGCATACAGAGAAGACCAGGTAGCTTCAAGATACCTTTTCTGCTCATGTCCAGCTTTGAAAATTCCAAAGTGAATTGGTCCCCGTGAATTTTCTGGCAGAAGCATACCTTACCCCTCAGCCTTCCTTAACCCCCCTCCCAATCAGACATCCAAACTTTACTTTGGGCTTTTCTGGCCCTAAATTGCCTGCTTAGTAATATGTAGCAAAGCAGGATTCAGGATTCAGTACATTAGTTCTCAGAGTGGCTAGATTTCTAGAAACACAGGTTGGCCTGTGTTAGGAGGGTGGAGCTAATGTTGAGTTTCCCAGATTGTGGCAGGAATCTCCTGGGAAAGTGAGGAGGTGGGCAACCTGGGTGCCTTTCCCACAGGCCTTCTGACCTCAAGCCCTGGGCCCAGTAGCACCTCATTGTAAAGGGATGGGGACCAGAGAAGAGACCCTGGAGCCTCAGGCCAGCAAAGGGGCACCTTTGCTCTCCTGCAGCCCTAGGCTAAGCTGGCAGGTGGGGGATGAAGTGTTGAGAGCACCCCCACCCTGCCCACATGTGTCAGGCATCGGTGCTTATCTAGTAACCACTGTGTGTGTTTGCTGTGTCCCCTCCTACCCTTCCTGTCCCTACCTCTCCCTACACCCTGGCTGCTCCTCAGACTGTCTCTGGAGGTTATGACCATCCTGTGTCGCTGTGAGAATATTGAGACGTCGGAGGGGGTCCCGCTATTCGTAACAGGGGTTGCACAGGTAATAACTCACCTGCTTCCTCTTCTGTATCTAACCTTCTCTCTTCCTGCCCTACGGTGCCTGGCAGGCAGGAGCTGGATGGACTCCCCTCCTGAGAGTGTGCCTCCTGCCCCCTTCCCATCTCTGCTGCTCTGGGTGCCAGGATGGAACCCTGTAGATCCCCAGGGCCCTTCCCCTTCCGCCTTGGGGCTGCAAGGAGGGAAAGGGCTAGTGATTCCAGAAACTCTGGGCAAGTCAGCCAGTGGGTATACTTGAATGCCAGGCTTTATTACCTTGCAGCCAGAGTTGGCGAAAACTGGTTTTGGCTAGAATGTTAAGCAACTCCAAGTACTTTCTCTACAACGTGCAAGTTCCCTTCTTCATTGCTTCACTCTCCAGCGCTCTATTGAGCGCTTTCTCAGTTTTAGGTACTAAGAATTCAACAGCCAACATCCAAATGCACCTCCCCGCTCAGAGGCAGTTGCCAGTGTGTCCGCAGGCTGGAAACAGCCTGCACAGCATCTTTCCCATCCCCCTTCCTCAGTATTGAGCTGCCTTTCAGCACCACCACTCCTTTCCTCCTCCTTCTTGTGCTGGTCAAGGACACCACACCTAGCCCATCAGCCTTTGGAAGGATGGGAAAGCAGACTGCAGAGCAGGGGCCTAAGAGAGGCTCAGAGCACCTTCTGTGGAATAGACAGGGTCCAGGCCCCCCTCAACACCCCGTATGAGCCAACTCCTCAACACCCCCAACTATACTGGCAACATCTGCCAATCCCCAGGGTCCATTTAAGCTGGATGGATGTGGACCCTTCAGGAGTCAGATTATCTGGGCAGAACAACTCTTTCTGGGGTTAACGCTACTTGGCCAAGAGGCCTGGTGTGACCCGCCTGGACCCTCTAACAGAGGGTGGGCTTCAAATCATAGCCTTTATTCAGGTGGAGGCCCAGACAGGGCTTCCCTGGCCAGGGGCAGGTACAGAATCGCTTCCTTCTTGGCCCAGCAGTGGGCATATTCTCACTATGCAAGCCTACCAGGCAGAGCTTTCTAGGCAGCCTCCTGCGGTCCTGAGTAGACCCGGGCAATGAGAGAACCCCGGAAACATTCAAATGACACTCATGGAGAGCCTCACATGGATAGCCCACTCCATAACTTACACATAACTTACACATAACTTACACATAACTTACATAACTTACACAGCTTCACCTAGGTTCTCCCCGCCCCCATCAGCCCCAAACTGCAACCACATCTTACCTACTTCCTGTTCCTCACAATTCAAGCCAGGGCGACTGGAGCGCAGGACGTGTGCACATGTGTGGCCCACTTACCTATTCCCTGGAGCCGCCTGCACCTACCCTGCCCTTGTCCCACCTTCTCACACACTGCCAGCTACAACCCCTTGAATGGTCCTCCGCACTCTCCCACCCAGGACTCTTGGCCTGTCCCAGCTGGAACGGCGAGGTATTGGACTCATTTCCCACACCCCAGGCCCTGGGCCCCCAGACCCATGCCCCTGTTTTGCATTTCTTGGCAGGATTTCCCTAGAGATTATGACGTTGCAGCCCCGCTGCGAGGACGTAGAGACGGCCGAGGGGGTAGCTTTAACTGTGACGGGTGTCGCCCAGGTATAGTAACTCAGCAGCCCCGCGCATGTCCATTGAGGTGCCTCGTCCCGTGCTGGGGTTGGGGGGAGGAGGAGAGGACGGTATCCAGGGGCAGTTTCTCTCAGGCGCCCCTGTCGTCCCCCCAACAAGAGGGTCATCACCACTGAAACGTGCTTGCTTGGCCCCCCTTGGCCCCTCAGCAGGACTAACAGACGCCCCTTCTCTCCTCAGTGGCTCTCGAGGGACAGAACCAGTGCCGAGGGCTCCTGTCTCACTAACCCATCGCCATTCTTTGCAGGTGTTGGACATGCCACTCCCCAGAGTACAGGCCTACCCTGTTCCCTGCGCGGGGGGGTGGGAGGAGAGCCCGGAAGGAGAGCCCCACCAGGCAGAGGAGCTCTGAGTTAGAGGCTGTGTTTTATCCCCCGCTGGGAGCCTGGGAGGGGCACCCCTTGCCCTCATCCACCTCTCAACTTTACAGGGCAGCAAGCCGCAACTGTGTTTCAGGCCTCTGGTGAGGGAATTAGCTGAATACCTGGAGAAGCAAAGGCACAGCGGGTTGCAACTGTGGGACCTGTCTCCTCCCCGGTCTTTCGTAGTTCATCTATCCGTGTCCCTGTTGCTCATTCTCCTTTTCATACTCTGCCCCTCAGCCTGAGGGCGTCCCACCTGTGGGGAATCTGCAAGGGAGGAGTTGGCTAGTGAGGAAATAGTGAGCTGGAGGGATGACGAGACAAGCCCCAAATGCCTGAGAGCGAGGTGGGGTCAGGGTCTGGGATGCCGGCGAACACAAGCTTTTCATTGTAAGAATTCCTCATGCTAGCCCAGACTGGCAGCACACACCTGTAGTCCCAGCAGTCTGGGAAGTTGAGGCAGGAAGATTGCAGCTGAGCCCACCCAGGGTAACTTCTTGATGTAGAAAGACCCTGTATCAAAATAAAAGTAACCACAGAGGTGGGACTGTAGTTTAGGGCAAAGGCCCTGGGTCAATCTCTAGTCCTGCAAAAAATAAAACAATCCCTTGTGCCTTGTCTTACCATCAGAGGCCACAGGCACTCCAGCCCCTCCTCACAGCCCCTGGGACTCTAGATCTGACAAAGGAGGGAAGGGGCACAGCCAGCAGCCTCAGCACCTCTAGGTCTGAGGTGTCTGTCTGCCTGCCTCCAGCCCAGCTCAGACACCTCTGTGACCCTGGCAGGTGAAGATCATGACAGAGAAGGAGCTCCTGGCTGTGGCCTGTGAGCAGTTCTTAGGCAAGAACGTGCAGGACATCAAGAACGTCGTCCTGCAGACCCTGGAAGGGCATCTGCGTTCCATCCTTGGTGAGGCTCTCCCTACCCTCACATGGCCCCCAAGCCAAGGCCAGGGCAAGTCCATGGTGGGGAACAGGGGCTTATCCACTGAGGTTTTGTGGTTTAGTTTGGTTTTTTCGGTTGGTTGGTTGGTTTGGTTTGGTTTGGTTTTTTGAGACAGGGTCTCCCTATGTAGTTCAGGCTGGCCTGGACTCACAGTGTAGCCCAGGCTGTCCTTGAACTCATGGCGATCCTCCTGCCTCAACCTCCTGAGTGCTGGGGATTACGGGCATGTGCCACCACACCTGGCTCTCCACTGAGGTTTTTGTTTTGTTTTGTTTTTGTCTTTTTTGGTTTGTTTTTGTTTTTGTTTTTTCTCTTTTTGAGACAAGGTCTCGCTATGCAGTTCAGGCTGGTCTTGAGCTCATTTTGTAGCCCAGGCTGGCCTCGAACTTGCAACAGTCCACCTGGCTCAGCTTCCCGAGTGCTGGGATTATAGGCTTGCCCCCATGCCCAGCTGTCCAGTGAGGTTTTGAGCTGAAACATTTTTCCCTCAAGTATTACATTTCTAAGCCGGGGGCAGGGGAGGGGGCAGTTTATAGCTCAACAGTAGAGCACATGCTTAGCATGTGAGAGGCTCTGCATTCAGTCCCCAACAACAAAAAAGAAAAATAAAACTTCAGGTGACTTGAATGAAGGGGTTTTTTTGGGGGGTGCACAGTCTACTCAGAAATCCGGTGCTGCTTGGGATACCATTCCTCATCCAGTCTGGGCTCTGTAGAAAGTGGCTTGGTGTTAAATACTATTGAGAAGAAGCCCCGGGAAGCCCCACCTCAGACCACACAGGCCCTGCATGTACGCAAACTTGTACTTGCATGCTTCCTCCCTTTCCCAGCTGGCTGGGCTCCTGGGGAGCCAGCCCATGATCCCTCTGCTCCCAGGGACCCTGACAGTGGAGCAGATTTATCAGGACCGGGACCAGTTTGCCAAGCTGGTGCGGGAAGTGGCAGCCCCTGACGTTGGCCGCATGGGCATTGAGATCCTCAGCTTCACCATCAAGGTGAGGAAGGCTGCACTCCCAGCCCCCATCTGGGAGATGAGGGCTTGGTGGGAGGGACACCTTTGTGGCTGTAGCCATCCCTGCAGTGACTCCCACCACACCCCCAGGACGTGTATGACAAAGTCGACTATCTGAGCTCCCTGGGCAAGACACAGACTGCCGTGGTACAGAGAGATGCCGACATTGGTGTGGCTGAAGCCGAGCGAGACGCAGGCATCCGGGTATGTAAGATTTCCTTTCCACCCTCGGGACAGAGAATTCAGGGGTGATGGGACCATGGTCTGTCAGGAGACCCTCAGCACCTGCCCATCCTTCTCCCAGGAAGCTGAGTGTAAGAAAGAGATGTTGGATGTGAAGTTTATGGCAGACACCAAGATTGCCGACTCCAAGCGGGCCTTTGAGCTGCAGAAGTCGGCTTTCAGTGAGGAGGTCAACGTCAAGGTGAGGAGTCAGGGTACTCGGGTTAGGGCTCAGGGAAGGGTTCAGGGCTCAGTGGCCAGCCTTTAATGTGCTGACTCCCCTGCCACAGACAGCTGAGGCCCAGCTGGCCTATGAGCTGCAAGGGGCCCGTGAGCAGCAGAAGATCCGGCAAGAAGAGATTGAGATTGAGGTTGTGCAGCGCAAGAAGCAGATTGCAGTGGAAGCGCAGGAGATCCTGCGCACAGACAAGGAGCTCATCTCCACAGTGCGCCGCCCGGCCGAGGCGGAGGCCCACCGCATCCAGCAGATCGCAGAGGGCGAGAAGTGAGAGCTGCCGGGGGCTGGGGCTGGGGTTCGTTAGGCTCCTTTGCCCTTGGCATGCGCTCTTCACTCTCCTGACCACAGCTCGGAACCCACTTTTCCCCATGGCTGCCCCTCACTGCAAAGGGGATAAGCCACTCTGTTGTCAGGAAGGCTAAGTAAGATAGAGGGGCCTCAGGTTCCTGGCACTGTGCTTGGCACAGGGGGCCTCCCTGTTAGTCTCTTCTCCCGCTTACTGCCGGGAGCCCAAGGCTGCAGGCCAGCACACCCCCTTCAAATATCTCCCATCCCTTGCCGCCTCCAGGACAGAGGGCTGGAAGCTTGGCTGGCCCCCTGACAAGATTTGTTAGGACACTGGTACCTCCCACTGATCTCCTGGTCGGGCTTCCCCAGGGTGAAGCAAGTCCTCTTGGCACAGGCAGAGGCTGAGAAGATACGCAAAATCGGAGAGGCGGAGGCAGCAGTCATCGAGGCGATGGGCAAGGCAGAGGCTGAGCGAATGAAGCTGAAGGCTGAGGCCTATCAAAAATACGGGGATGCAGCCAAGATGGCCTTGGTTCTGGAGGCCCTGCCCCAGGTGAGGTCCCCCCCAGGTAAGCTGGCACCCAGAATTCAAGTCTCCTGGCTTAACTAGTGGGGCAAGTGGCAGAACTTCTCTGGGCTACAGACCAGCTGGCTGGAAGGATTAAAAAAGGAGAGTAAAGGGCCAGGGATATAGCTCAGTGGCATAAGCACTTGCCTGGCAAGCCTGAGGTCATGAGTTCGACTCCTGGTACCAAAAAAAAAAAAAAAAAAGCACTTGAGAGCTGAGGCAGGAGGATCATTGCGAGTTTGAGACCAGCCTGGACTACAAAGTGAGCTCAAGACCAGCCTGAACTGCATAGCGAGACCCTGTCTCAAAAAGAGAAAAAAAAAAAAAAAAAAAAAAAAGGAGAGAACTCAGCAGAGTGGTGCAGGAAACTGCCAACAAACCCAGGCCATCCCGGGCCCATGGGCCTCTCCCACCATGGCTTACAAAGTGGCCGGAGAGGCCAGACTGCTTTGGGCTTTGGGGGAGATAGAGAAGGGGGAGGAGGTGTTAGGCAGGCAGGCAGGCAGAGGGCGCTAACCACACTCTCCTCCCACCCACTTTACAGATTGCTGCCAAAATCGCTGCCCCACTCACCAAAGTTGACGAGATTGTGGTCCTCAGTGGGGACAACAGCAAGGTGACGTCAGAAGTGAACCGACTGCTGGCAGAGCTGCCTGCCTCGGTACATGCCCTCACGGGCGTGGACCTCTCAAAGGTGTGTCTCTATCTCCCTAGCTGCAATGGGGTAACCTGGACAGCCCAGTGGGCTGGCCTAGGCAGATGGGTCCAGGGCTCTGCTGCAAGGCCTCACGGCATCTCCCGTCTTTGCAGATACCCCTGATCAAGAATGTTACCGGTGCACAGGTGTGAGGCTCCTGCCGGCCTCCACCCTTCAGCAGCCGCCTGCCCCTCCCTCCGTTTTAACACCACAGGGACAACAGGAACGATGCTGACTCTGGTGCCTTATTTTGCAGGGACCAGAAGTGCTGCCCGTTCAGTCCATCTCTGGCTGTCTTCCCTCCTCTCCTGTCTATCTCTTCCTCTTCTTCTCCTCTACCTCATACCCTCACTCTCACTGCCACGGTCATCCAGTCTGTCTCTTCTGCCCTCATTTCTCTGTGCATCTCTTCCTCTGTCTTTTCCTCTCCCCCTCTCCTTATACCCCTTATGCACATCATGTAGTTTAAGATGAAGATGTTTATTATAATCACTGTCTGTGGGGGTGGCCTTGCTGCTCCTCAGAATCCTGGTGCCTTGAAGTTCTCCGTGTACCTGTCTGTCCTCCTGGGACCCTGGCCAGAGCCCAGCATGGGTGGAGAGGTCCTGGGTGGGATGGCTGTTCTACCCTCTCTTGGCCAGGTTTTCCCAGCCCAGAACCCTACTCCAGGAGGCCCACAGCCACTCACTTGTGCCCCTCTAGGCCTGGGTAGCCAGGGCCTGCAAGTCCCAGAGCCATTGTCCCTTCATTTCATCCCTCCCAGGCCCAGACCTGCCGTCATCCCTACCTGTCTCCCTGACTCTGGGGCACAGAGGCAAGGCCTCCTGTCTAGAGCAGCTCCCTCAGTTTGCTACTGCCTTAGGAGGCCCTGCTTGTGTTCAGGGAAGTCCCATCCATAGGCGTGTCCCTGCTAAATGGGATGGATCCCAACCTGCAAAGCCTTTCTGGGGTCAAGGTCTAGCCCTGTTGGGAACAGCAAAGTGTGTATACCCTCTTTCTGCTAGTGCTGCCCTACCCTGCGTATGGGGCCCTCCCACTGGGCAAGGCTGTGCCGACCCTGTCCAGAGTCAAGTGCTGTTCCTAGAGTGGCCTGGCCCCACTCCCCTTGTGCCATCTTGCTTCCCGGCCAAAGTGATGGGGTTCCAGCCATGGGAAGCGGCCCAGTCCTCTTTCTTCTTGTGCCAATGGAGGTAGAAGAGGCCAGAGCCCAAGCATCCGGGCAGGGGAGGGGTGCAGTGGGTGTCCCATGGTCCCAGTCCCCCCACTCTGGGCCCTGCCCCAGCCTGTGTAGCTGTTCTGCATGTGGATGCTGCATGTCTGGTCTGGGGCTTGGATGTTGCACTGCCCCACTGCCTGTCCCCTCCAGTAAAATAAAGATCTCTTATGCAGACCCCCTGTGCTATATATTCTTTTTCTTTTTTTAATTTGGTTTGGTCTTTTTTTTTTTTTTTTTTTTTTTTTTTTTTTTTTTTTTCCGGTACTGGGCATCGAACTCGCGACCTTGTGCTTGCCAGGCAGGTGCTGTGCCACTGAGCTAAATCCCAGCCCCTGTCTTTTTGAGACAGGGTCTCACTATGCAGTTCAGGCTGGTCTTGAACTCACTTTGTAGCCCAGGCTGGCCTCGAACTCACAACAGTCCTCCTACCTCAGCCTCCCGAGTGCTGGGATTATGTTTGTGCGCCACCACGCCCAGCTATGTGTTGCATATTCTGTAAGGAGAGACACTGAAAATCAGGAACCAACCAGGGCGCCAGACATGGTGGCATATGCCTGTGAGTCCAGCACTTGGGAGGGAAGACAGGAGGATCACCATGAATTTGAGGCCAGCCTGAAGTACACAGTGAGCCAAGGTCTCATAAATAAGTAATACATACAGTGCAACAACAATAAAAACCAACCAGATCCCTACCCACACATCTCGCCCATCAAGGCTGCTCTTTGCCTGTTCTTCCCCAGCCTAGCCACTGGGGGGCATTAGCATACAGGCCTTGCTCCCAGTAGCAGCCTGGGGCAGGGCAACAATCAGCCTGGGACCTGAGGCTGGACCTCAGACCCGGCTCCTTTGCAGCCAGGAGGTGGAGGGGGTTACCAGATTCACAGCACCTCTGTGTCCGTCCCAAGGCTGACTCAGTAATGGAGCCCACCTCTCTGGCTTAAGAGTATGAACTCTGAAAGAAAAAAAAGGGCATGAACTCTGAAGTCAGGCTAGGTGGGCTTAAAATTTCAGCTGTTTTTCATTACTTGTGCAATCTTTGGCAAGTTAACTTCATCTTCCTGGGCCTCAGTATTCTGATTTGTGGCACACACCTGTAATCCTAGCATTCAGGAAGCTGAGGCAGGAGCATCCCTGCAAGTTCAAGGCCAGCCTGGGCTACATACTGAGACCCAGTCTCAAACCAAACAAAAAATTCGGATTCATTTTATGAAGTTATCTAATGTTCCTTTTGTATGTGTTAGGTATTGGCTCAGATGCTAAGGAGACTGAAGTAAACAAGATAAATACTTAGCATTTACTGTTTACATTGAGGTGAATATAAATTTTTTAAAATGTAGTGTTAGATAATTATAACTAACAAGGAAGAAAATAAGGAAAGGAAGTTTGGGAGGGTGCTGAGATTTTAGGGATCCTAAGAAAGCCTCATTAAGAAAGTAGCACTGAGCCAGACGTGGTGGCACATGCCCAAAGTCTCAGCACTTGGAAGGCTGAGGCAGAAGCATCCCAAGGGTGAACCCAGACTGGGCAACTTAGTAAGTTCAAAGCCAGCCTGGACTGCATAGTGAGACTCTATGTCGAGAGAGAGAAAAAGGGACAGAAAAGGTAGTAGTGGTGAAGGCAACAGAACAAGGAATGCAGACACCTGAAGGAAGAGCTTTCCACCCAATGTATGGCATAATCAGCATAGCAAGGTCAAGTTTGGAAGTCAGTGGGTGAATGTGTAAGAGCACTAGATGAGGTCATGCAGGAAACTGTTTCCCGATCATAAAGAGCCTTTTTCCCCTCCTGTGTGATACTGGGGGTTAAACCCAGGGCTAAATTCACTAAACTGCTCGGCTGGACTTGAATTTGTAAACTTTCTGCCTCTGCCTCCCATAGTGCTGGGATTGCAGGTGTGCACTACCATTCTCAGATTTGGTTTGTTTAGTTTCATTTCATTTCAGTACTGGGCACTGAACCAAGGGCCTTCAGCTAGGTCTTTCACTGAGCTAAAGAAGCAGCTCTTTTTATTTTTATTTTTTTATTTTTATCTTATTTATTTATTTGATCTTTTGAGACAGGGTCCTGCCAGGTAGTTCAGGCTGGCCCTGAACTCACAGTAGTCCTCCTGCCTCAGCCTCCTGAGTTCTGGGATTGCAGGCATGTGCCACCACGCCTGATGTCCTTTTTATTTTTGTCTTGAGACATTCTTGCTAAATTACCCAGGCTGGCTTCAAACTTGCAGTCCTCCTGCATTAGCCTCCCAAGTAGCCCTAATGATTTGGTTGGAGTTTTGTTTGTGATACTGGAGATTGAATCTAAGCCCCTTGCACCTGCTGGGTGCAAGGTTCTACACTGAGCTACATTCCCACGCTACATTGTTAGTGTGGTTTGGTTTTGGTTTGTTTTTTTAAATTTTTTTAATTTTTGAGACAGGGTCTCGCTATGCAGTTCAGGCTGGGCTTAAGCTCACTTTGTAGCCCAGGCTGGTCTCAAACTTGCAACGATCCTCCTGCCTCAGCCTCCCAAGTGCTGGGATTACAGGTGTGTGCCACCACGCCTAGCCTGGGTTTTGGCTTTTTAAAACAGTCTCTCCATTTGTAGTTCAGTTTGGCCTTGAACTCACTATGTAGCTGAGCCTGGCCTCGAATTCAGCAACCCTGCCTCAACCTTCCGAGTGCTGAAATTATAGGTGTGCTGCACCACCCGCCGCTCCCAAGAGGTTTTTCATTGACAAACATTCTGAAGTTATAGAAAATGCCAAAGAAGGGGCTGGGGATTTAGCTCAGCGGCAAAGCACTTGCCTGGCAAGTGCAAGGTCGTGAGTTCGGTTCCCGGTACCAGAGAAAAACCAAAAAAAAAAAAAAAAAAAATGCCGAAGAACCCAAAAATAAAACAAACTTGAACAAAACATTGAAAAAATAACAACAACAAATTGGAGGATTTAAGCCGGGCGTGGTGGCGCACACCTGTAATCCCAGTACTCGGGAGGCTGAGGCAGGAGGATCATTGTGAGTTTGAGACCAGCCTGGGCTACAAAGTGAGCTTAAGCCCAGCCTGAACTGCAGAGTGAGACCCTGTCTCAAAAAAGACCCCCCCCCAAAAAAAAAAATTGGAGGATTTAAACTATCAAAGATCAGGTCTTAAAGTCTTAGTAGTGAGGCAGTCAGGAGGCTGAGGAAGGAGGACTGCAAGTTTGAGGCTAGTCTGTGAGATAAAGCAAGACCTTGTCTCAAAAAAAGAGAGGCAGGGCCAGGGATTTAGCTCAGTGGTGCAGCCAGCACCTGTCTGGCAAGTGTAAGGTTCTGAGTTTAATTCCCACTACGTGAAAAACAAAACAAAAGAAAGGCTACCAAAAAAACAAAACAAACAAACATGGCACGCCGGTAATCCCAGCACTCGAGAGGGGAAGCCCTGAGGTAGGAGCATCATTGTGAGTTCGAGACCAGCCTGAACTACATAGTGAGACCCTGTCTCAAAAAGACAAAAAAAACAAAAACCCACAATACATTAGAAAGGAAAAAGACACAAAAAAATTATTATATTATGTATATGTACCAATTTTCCACAGTTGTAATCATTTATGTACTGCTAACATGTACTAATAAAAAAAATTTTTTTTTTTTAGTTTTTTTTTCCGGTACTGGGAATTGAACTCACGACCTTGCACTTGCCAGGCAGGTGCTGTGCCGCTGAGCTAAATCCCCAGCCCTATAAAAAAAATTTAAAAGCTTGATAAATTAGAATATTAAAATTAAGAATATCTGTTTATCTTAAAGGCTAGTCTGGACTAGGAAAAACCTGTCTCAAAGCAAAGAATATCAGTTTAAAGCGCAAGGTCGTGTGTTCGGTTCCCGGTACCGGAGAAAAACCAAAAAAAAAAAAAAAAAAAAAAACAAAGAATATCAGTTTATCAAAAAACACGAACCTCCAGGGAATTATGTTCACCAAAACAATCAAATCCCAAAATAGAAAAAAATATATAACAGAATTTTCCATCCTGGTCCGGGGATGTAGCTCAGCGGCACAAGCTCCTGCCTGGCAAGTGCAAGGTCCTGAGTTCGATTGCCAGTACCAAAAAAAAAAAGAATTTTCCATCCTAATGCTTGTTTATTTCAGTATTGGGGATTGAACCCAGTGCCTTTACACTGAGCTGCATTCCCCAGCCATTTTTAATTATTTTATTTTGAAATAGGGTCTTGCCGGATGTGGTGGCGCACACCTGTAATCCCAGCACTCAGGAGGCTGAGGCAGGAGGATCGTTGTGAGTTCGAGGCCAGCCTGGGCTACAAAGTGAACTCAAGGCCAGCCTGAACTGCAGTGAGACCCTGTCAAAAAAAGATCAAAAGGGGCTGGGGATATAGCTCAGTGGCACAGTGCCTGCCTGGCAAGCCCAAGGTCGTGAGTTTGATTCCTCGTACCGGAAGAAAAAAAAATGACCACAAAAAAAAAAGAGTAACAGAGAAAAATAGTACATATATCTGGGGTGGGGAGATGAGCATCCAGAGTGCATTTTAGCAGTCAATAAGGAAAAAGATAACCTAGCAGAAAAAATAGACAACTTTTGGGCTGAGGCACTACACAGAATGTCCAATAGATATTTCAAAATGTGTGTGGCAGATTGTATTTTCCAGAGATAGTGACAACAGTATCTTCTACCCCACATGTCCCTCTTACACAGTGACTGTGACATCTTTCCAACTAAAGGTGGAGATGAAAAAAATAAATAAATAAAGGTGGAGATGGAGGCTTTACCTACTTCCCTTGAACCTGGGTGAACTAAAAAAAAAAAAAACCTGGGCGAACTCTGTGACTTAAGTCAATAGAGTTCAGCAGAAGTGACACTCTTTTAACTTCTGAGGCTAGACCATGAAAGATGACACAGCTTCTACTTTATGTGCTGGAATATCCTTAAGCCTCAGCCACAATGGAAACACTATGACGGTTCCAGGCCAGTGTACCATGGGGAAGCCCAGAGATGATAGGGATAAGGCCCAGACCTACATGGACAGAGTTACCCAGCCAGACTCCACCTGCTGCAGCCCTCATTAGGGGCTGCATCTGTATTAAGAATCCCCAACCTAGGGCCAGGGATATAGCTAAGTGGCACAACCGCCTGCCTGCCTGGCAAGAAAAAGGTCCTGAGTTCAATTCCTGGACCAAAAAAAAAAAAAAAAAAAGACTCCCCAACCTAGG